ATCACTATATATCTTTCTTTCTTTCTTTTGTGCGTGCCGGTGAGTGGGCATTGATATAAATTATAAATACTAACACGAACGATTATAGGTGGAAGCATCACCCAGCGTAGTCAAAGCCTGCGAAACCATCGTTCGAGCCCACGAAGCCTGTGTCGCGACGCTGAATACAGAATACCAGGTTCGTTCCCACATCCATTCATATCTTCCATCGAATCTAACCTCAACTCTCCCCTTCCCTCCCCCCCCCCCTTTTAATTACACGGCATTATACTAACATATCCCTCTCCACAGCGCAATTTCCGCAAAGTAATGCGCTCAGCACTCGCACAGGTACGCGGTCGCATCCCAGAAGATTTCAACGAGCAACAATTGAAGCGGAGAGAAGTGCTTTCTCTCTACCGCTGGACGGGCGATGGAACGGGTTTGGCTTTATGAAAGTGTGAAGTGAAAAAAAAAAAGAGGAAAAAAGATGGAAAGAGATGAGAACAAAAATTTAGGTTTCTTCGCCTTTGATTCTTTTTTTTTTCTTTTTTGGATATACGTGGGTTTGGTTTGTTTGGTTTTGTTTCTTGTATGTTATGTTACGTTATATTCTTGATGAATAGGAATGGATGGATCGGCGGGAATGAAATGAAATGGAATGGAATAGGCGGGAAAGATTCAATAACGGAAACGGGATTTTGGTTCTTACAATAGCTGTTGAAAATTGGATGGGATGGGATAGGTATAGGTATGGAAAGGATAGGAAGGAAAAGGGTATCCCAGAGTATTGGAAAGGCAATGAAGTGAAAAGAGAAGATAAGAGAAGAACAGTATCTGGATCTGGATTTGGAAATGAGAAATGAGAAAGGAATTTACTTGATTTGTTGTGATATGATATGATTGATATAATAGGGGGTTTTATATTATATATATTTTATATTTTATATTTTATATTTTATATTTTATATTTTATATTTTATATTTTATATTTTATATTTTGTATTTTATATTTTATTGTTACGAGGTTTGCCGTCTAGATCACGTGGAAGTGCTCTAGGCTCTCGAGGTGGTTTATAACTAGGCGTCAAGCAGGGACTTAAGTAATGACCATAATGATATGCAATTCGTAACTAATAGTAGGATATACTAAATGATTGATCTTGAGCACGAAGCTCTATACAAAGGAAATCCATCTTGATTATATAGTCCTTCATGCTTCCATGATTACTAGTGATCCTTCATGATCATTAGTGATCATCTATATCGTGATCCTTAGTGATCCTTAATGATCACCAGTGATCACCTATACCGTGATCCTTAGTGATCCTTAATGATCATCAGTGATCACCTATACTGTGATCCTTAGTGATCCTTAATGATCATCAGTGATCACCTATACCGTGATCCTTAGTGATCCTTAATGATCACTATTGATCATTTGTGATCACGTGCCTTGGTAGTTGTGTAGCCCGTCGTAACACCTATATCATCTTTTGAGGACCCTTGGGACCCTAAGGTCCAAAAGGTCCTCGAGGTCACGTGAATTAATGAATCGTGACACTAGGTATCAAACAAGGATTTAAAGTAATGACAATAATGTTAAAATGAATGGTTCCTGCGTAGCACGTGCATAGGGCACTAGTCCTATTAGGACTAGATTGAGAATGTGACGCCTCACACCTCCGGGTCACGTGGCATGCCCCGTTTGTATTTAATCATAGGAAAACTCGCTACTCTTGTTGGGATGCGAAGACTCAACACCTGTACGCGGTGCATCCTACGAACCTCCAGCTCTCTTATGAGAGTCTGCAGAGCTAAGTTTGAGTTATTTGATGGAGTCGTGGTAATTGGAAGAGGAAGAGGCGCCCGATCACGACGTTTTTACCCGTTTGCGGTTTTTTGACAGTTGCATTATCGAAATGCGCTCTCTACAACACTACCTTTATTACGAAACAGAGGACAACACCATCATCTACGACAATACGCCACGAAATCATCTCACTTCTTAAAAGTGAGACTCCTCTGGAACATATAGTACAACTCGACATCTTTGACGCGTATATGTTATATACTGTATACCTCTCATGATCGACACGACTGAAACGACAACAATTTATATACCTTCCATACAGGAACACCGGAGGAGTACTGTTGAAGGACCTGAGCTGATGACGAAACTTACTCTGCTCTCATTCAGCGGAGGTATGCTACTTACGGAATCGGGACACCTGTACAAGCCACTACCTATGCATACTATAGTTACGCTATATAAGGATTGGTGCTCCTTCATAAGCTTTCTATTGGCAGGATGATCAGAATGAGGACGAGGCAATCCTGACGGTGGGCGATTACAGTACGTTCTGGTATATAAGGAGTAATTGGATTGATGGTATCGGGAAGGGGATCAGGGATGAAGGGTTTTCGAGTACAATGTTTTAATAGTATGAGGGGAAGGGAGAGAGATCAAGAGCCAGTGATCTAGTGGACGAGGATGACCACAATTACAACTCCAAAAGGCCTACCGGCCCAAACCCCCCCTGCGAAGGCAATCATGTAAACCCTGCCCTAGCCCCCTTTAAATTGTATATAAATACTCCCCCTAGCTAGCTAGTAAACCACTCAGAGGCTTCTCCTCTGAGCGTCATTTGTCCCAAAACTGGAATAGATGGCTAAGGTTATCACGCGCCAAGGCGCGTGGGCCTACGGCCTATGACGATAAACACAATCAATCAATCAATCGCTACTCTTGTTTTCCTTCTTCTTTTCTCCTTAGTTTAGTATTTTCTAATACAAGATACTTTACCCAGTATTCTTGAGTGTGACAGAGAAGCTCTCTGTAGGAGAGCTTCGCACTTCCGTAGAACTTAGATAATGAGCGATTCATATACAAGACCAATATAGCCTCAGTTCTGCCCTATCAGCTTCCCACTATTCCCTGTGTAAGGTCATTCCTTTTAACAAATAATGCGATTTGTTACTAATAGTAGAGTATACTAAATAATTGATTTTGAGTATAAAGCTTTATACAAAGGAAATTTATTATAATTATATAGACTTTTGTATTATATATTTTATCGCTTTTCATTATATTCTATTGCTTGTAATTGAGTGATTCTAGATGGGACAATATTGGGTTATGTAACAATGAGCTTAATCATCTGAATAGCTGTTAGGATTGATTGTAACAATACATAATATAGTTTATTATCATATAGGCCATATCATTATGTGGGCCATTTTTCTGTTACGACCAATCCTAATAGTTACTTAGGTGATTAAGCTTATGATTATATAACCCAATATTGTCCTATCTAGAATCACTTAACTACAAGCAATAAGATATAATAGAAGATAATAGAATGTATAATATAAAGGTCTATATAATCAAGATAAATTTCCTTTATATAAAGCTTGATATTCAAGATCAACCATTTAGTATACTCTACTATTAATTACGAATTGTATTGTCATTACTTAAGTCCCTGCTTGACGTCTAGTTATAAACCACCCCGAGAGCCTAGAGCACTTCCACGTGATCTAGACGGCAAACCTCGTAACATCTATTACATCTCAATCTATCCTCAAATTATCAACTCATACAACAATATATAATAAACCTTCATTCGTCTCATCATTGAATACATTCATTTCATCCATCAACCAATCAATCACCATACGCCAAGCAATGCCCGCTCATTCGCTCATTCGCTCATCAATTATAGCCAATCCACAAACAAGCAAATAAACAAACATTAGAAAGGAAGAAAGAAAATCTCTATCCCAGCATATAAATAGAAAACTTATATGCCAGCTCTTCTGCCAACACCACAAGCTCTTTTCCCATCTTCCCCAAAATATATGCATTCATCCACCTCCTTCATCACTCGTCAAATTAGTATGTCCAGCATCTGGATTAACTTCCATTTCTGTCAACCTCAAGGGCTTCTCCCACATCCTTCACGAAAATGCGCTCTGCCCCCACAAGTTTCCAAAATCCCACTCCGATCCAATAATTCCCAAATAGGGGTTCCTTCCTGAGGAGCACGGGAAAAGAATACTCTAACACCTCTATTTCTATAACCTCTTACGATTTCTTCTAAAACCTGTGTACCTGAACCATCAAGTCCGGTAACACCGTGAATATCGAAAATAACATTCCTGTTGTGTTCAGGAGAACGAACGCGGGGTAGTGCAGGGTGAGCATTATTTGTGCCATATAATTCTAATCTCCTTAGCCGGTTCTTAAGATCACCAGTGTTGGCAAATGTGAGAGGTTCGGGAATTTTAACAATAAGACAGCCTTCGATGAACTCCAATTTCTCAGGGTTATCCTCCGCGTTCTCGAAGCGATTGGTACCGGGGATCCGACCTAGAATTTGGATACGAGGGCGAGTAGAGTGTTTGATGACCGAGAGAAGGGAGAGACCAACTCCGACGGCCATACCTAGGGTAAGAGAGTAAAATATGGTGGAGGCAAAGATAATGAACATGAGGCCTAGTTCAGTATATCCACGAATTCGAATAAAAAATGCTATATCGTGGGGAGCTTCCTCAATTAGAGAATAGGCGACTACCGTAATCATTGAGGAGAGAACCGCTTTCTAGTAGGTAATTAGCATAAGAAACTCTGCAGGGATCTCAAGAGGGGCATACCGGAAGATAATAGAAGGCAGGTAAGAGGAACAAAATGCAGATAACGGTTAACAAACTCAAGAAAATGCTACTCATAGGAGTTTTCCCCCCAGTGCTAGCATTGACTTTACTTCTTCCATACCCGCCAAACGCTGGGACTGCTTGAAAGCAACCACCAACCAAATTTGCAACCCCAAGTGCAACCAATTCTCGATTCGGACTTAGTTGTATTCCTTGGATCATGTCTTTCCCTTCTGCACCACCAAGACTCTTCGCCGCCACAGATGACTCGAAAAAGCCAAGGAGTGCAATCAAAAATGACGTCCCCATAGCTTCCCGAACATGCTTCATGTGAGATAACTGAAATGGCCATCTGAAAGTAAATGGGGCACCCCCTGTCGATTTCACCTCGCCGAGGATCTCTAGGCCAAGACTTTCCCAATCAAATTTCCAGGCTAGAATGGCTGAAATAACCACAACCAGGAATCTATCGGGTATATATGCAACATTTGGGAATCGAGGTTGTAGGCGCTTTTTTAACTCTCTGAAAGCGGGTCAGTGGTCAGCTAAAGTTAGACAACTTTTGGACATACCTGAAGATCATGATTATAATGAAACTGACTCCGGCGACAATACAGGTAAGCTTATGCGCTTGACCAGCATTTCGAAACAAAAATCCTAACTTGTCAACACTACTGCCATGAGCGACACCTCCCATTTCATCCGCCAACCCTGCCAATCCCATCTCCGGTATTAATTGATCGACCATAATGACAAAACCAACCGCAGAAATAAATCCGCGTAGGAATGGTCTGCTCAACACACTATCCAGAAATCCCAAACGAGTTAAACCAGCAATTAAAATAACTGCTCCTGCCATACCGGTGACAATTCCAGCCACTCTCGCGTGCATTAAATCATCTTCTTCTGCTCCGTGTCCTACATCAACACTAGATTTTACGACTGTGCCAACTAATAGACTTCCTGCGGCCTCTGGTCCTACAACCATTTGCGGACAGCTTCCAAGGATAGCGTATATAAGTGGATTAAAAACAAAGGAGTAGAGACCATTGATCGGAGGAACATGTGCGAGATTCGCCGCATAGGAGAGGGCCATAGGTAGATAGAACGAAGCCATTGTAATAGCAGCTATTAAGTCGCCTCGAAGATGTACCCATCTGTATTGTCGGATCCAGGTGAAAAAAGGTACGTAGTAATTTATGTACCTGTTGCGCAACAAATGTTAGCAAAACTCCATACGTCAACCTGAAAATATGGCAATATTGAAGTAAAACATACATCCCAGTAGTGTTGGTAATTCCATGTTGTTCCGCGAGCCAAGTTGTCGTGCTCATCCTCTTTGGCTTTGCTACCGAACCATTCCTCACTCCTAAGCCTTTGAGTAAACCCCCAATCACCCCGTCACTAGCCTCTCCATTACCATCTGGAGATATTGGCGCAGAACCTCCAAAGCTCCTCACACTGTCCGCACGACTTTCCAGCCTCGGGCTAAAGGTTCCATGATTGCAAGGTCCGGGATGCGCGGCATTACCAATCATTTCAAGAGGCTTCCTCAGTAACGCAGTCGTCTCATCTGTAATCTTTCCCCCAAATCCAGTTTGTCCATGTGCGTGACCGTCTAATTCATCAATTATACTGTCAGAGGTATCTGAGCGAGTAGGATGCGCATGCGGTAAAGGCTGTTCGTTGTGATTCCTCGAGTTCTCATCGCGCCCGTCATCTGTGCCGTCCTCTTCAAAATGTCTTGTCGCCTCGGGACTCGTAGCAATGGTATAGGATTCCCTCAGTCCGCTGGGATGTGTCGGTGTGAATTGCGAAATGGATTGACTTCTTAAACTTGGAGTTCTAGAATTCGGACGTAAAGGCGGAGAACCCGGTGGTCGTGAGGCCGTCATGATTAATTTAGGGCTTGTATAAACTACCCTTGAAAATACTTTTGTTTACATCAATGTGTTAGAATGAAGTAATGTTTTAATGTTTTAATATTATTTTTGGGCGGGAATTTTGGGGAATGAGGGAGGATTTGTCTGTTGGAGATATTTATGTGGGGATTTTGAAATGAATGAACCATTCAGAGGGGCAAGATTGATAATTGTGGATTTCATTCTTGTGATAACATCGAAATGCCGATTTAATACCGTTGAGATTTTCATTTGTAATTCTTTCGTCTTCAAGTACACAGACAAAGACACAATTAGGTAATTTATACGATCCGTATATAAGCAGATGAGGAAGTTCAAGGATATAGGATATACTTTGTGCCAGCGAGAGAACCGCTAATGTCGAAGGATGAACCTTTCAGTATACAGTCCCGGTGGCCTGGATTATATCTTTTACATTTATTGCGTTTCTAAATGTCTACTCGAGTTGCGTTCGCATCCTCATCTCAAATCTCCATCTATGATGAGGCATTTTCTCTCATGATATATATATCTATATCTATATATCGCTCATTCCATCTTATTTGGTACTTGGCATCTTCGTCACAGCACATTCCTGTGTTGCCTCATTTGCGCCATGTCTAATCAGAGCAGCTGCCTCTGCTGTGTCACGGTCGGTCAGCATTAGAGTGAATGGATTTATCATGTGGAATATCAAACTGTATTTGCAGCTTTCGAAATCACAAACTAAGTGGAAGTATTTTCCACTATTCGCGCGATAGTTCGCAGGTTGAATTTGTGCGGAAAGCATCCCAAAAAACCAAGAGGAAATCAATATACTCGAGTTTGGATGGGTGACAGTTGGGTACTCTTGGTAAATTTCATCAATGACTCATAAGAGGTAATGTAGGTAGGTCTACAGTATATGCTCCAAGATGCTTTTCCCGTAGCACAAACAAGCCTTTTCCTTCAAACCTCCTACACTGTACCACGCATGGCAAATCGACGATGTTTCCTTTTTAATATTCGAATTTTACACACTTTTGAGATCTTCCCTGACTCTGAAACTTGCAAATTTTCTTTTTTTGGGAGTGGCGAAAGTCGATAGATGCATTATGGACCATAGCCTCATACTTGCCATTCATTTTCTGCCTTTCCTGAGCTTTCATGTGCCAACCAGTCCAAATAGTCCAAATAGCAGGCATTTCATGCCTTGACTTTTACTCTACAAAGGTTCGACATCATTCACTTTCCATTGGGATTGGATCTAAGTCTATTCATCTAGCTCCGTCATTCCATTCTGAAAAGAAGAGACTAATAACATCGATCTCTTATGGAAAGATCTTGAGGAAGGAATAGCAAAGCTGCGCTCAACATACAAAGTATCTGTATGGATAACGTAGATGAGACAGTCTCGTATATATCATTCAGCGGGATCTGTCCAACAGCTTTAGTGGATATAGCTTGATACAAAACGGCATTTGGAAATTTGACGGCTTCGTCACAGACGCGCTGTTACCAGGGACTGGATGTCCATTACTCCGAGTGTTTGGAACTTGTAAAAGGCATAGACGGGCCACAGACGTCTATAACAGGGAATATGGTTAGTGGGATTTGTGTTTGTTGGCAACTTGTCAACTTTCCATGATTTGCACGACCCGTATAAAAACTTAGAACGGGCCAGCAAGAACTTCCAAATGATTGGAAATCCTAAACGTGCCTCGCCGTCTATATTGCGCCACAATCATTCCTTAATACATCAACACACTGTTACTTTCGTTTCGTATCTTGTCTTCTTTGGGCCCCATTTCACGGTGGCAATCAAGAACTGAACACATAACCACCATCCAAAAATTTTAAGAAGAGAAGTTCTCGCTCTTTTTATCCCATCTACTTCACCTTGACAACGAGATATGCATAAAAAGTTCTTTCTAGGTCCATCATGTCAGAGCTTAGGCTCCGGAATAGTCATGCATGATTTATCCCAGACTGCAGTCTCTGACCACATAAAATCCGTTTCCATCCCGTAAGTGAAAGCAAACAAGTCCATTGGCCATTTCCATTAGAACTGCTATGGGGCAGTATGTCTGCAGTACTCGAATCACTTGGATTATCATTCAAAATAAGAATGCAATGTCTTGACATCTCTATCCTCAAATGTAAATTCTAGATGGCTTCCCAGTAATTTGATAATACCCTCTCTAGATACTATTAACTAGAGATGACCCCACCGGTGCCCTTGAATACGGAGGGTAAAAGTATGTTAGATAAAGTAAGTTCCATAGCTCATACCCAAGAAATAAATTTGTTCTTTAGAACTCGATTTATCTAACTTTTGTAATCCTCACGGGGACATCGATGCGCAATATTTTACTTACATCTTACTCGGCACCCACAAGGGTTTCTTCTTTTGCGCAAACGCCTCTAATCCAATTTTCATATTCTCACCCTCAAACAATTGCTGATCATATCTCTGTGCAACAATTTGTGTAGCCCTTTCCACACTCCCCGTCTCCCACGCTTCTCTCAATCCTGCCCTTGACACAATAACAGCATCTGGATTTAAAGCTACGATCTTCTCTGCCATCTCCACACTCTCCTTCAGTAACGTTTCTGGTGATTGCGTAATTTTATTGATTAGATTATATGAGAGTGCTTCTTTGGCACTTAGCCTTCGATTAGTCAATGCAATTTCCGTAGCGATCTGAAGTCCACAATTGCGCACTAAGCGCGGAAGACCACCAGCTGCAGCATATAATCCTACAGCTGCCTCAGGAAGGCCAAATGTTGCCAACGGTGAAGCAACAACCAAATCACTAGCATCTATTAGCTTCACACCTTCCCATAACAAAAAAAAAAGTAGCATTACCAATTTAAACATATTTCAAAACCCCCACCCAGCGCAAACCCATTCACAGCCGCAATGATCGGCTTTTTCCCCGCACGTCTACTAATGCCACAGAATCCACTCGTGGGATGCTTAGTTGTTGGCATGGGTGGAGGATCGGCTTTGACTTTCGCTTGTTCGATTAGATCTTGGCCGGCGCAAAATGCTTTTTCTCCTGCTCCGGTAATGATCGCAACGCGTAGTTCGGGAGAATTGTCGAACCATTTGAGAATCGCATCGGCTTCCCAATGGGCAAAGCTGGGAATAGAATTCATGGCTTTGGGACGATTGATTGTAATGAGTAGGATTTGGGGCGTTGGGTAGCTGAGGAGGAAAGAGGTAGATTCGGGGGGTGCGGTTGAGGATGGCATTTTGGCTGTGGAGGAAGTTGTTATGGTTGGTTGTGTACGAAGTATGGGACTGTGAGCTTCAGTGAAACTTTTTTTTAGGTTTGAGATGGAGGAGGTAATGGTGAAGATGGAGTTATATTAAAAAGGGGAGTGATAGTATGGGGAACGGGTAAAGCCCACCCCGCAATGAAGATTATACCCGAGCCGAGGCTTAGTCTGTCCGGGGCGTGCACGTGATTTGTGGACGACTTACAAGTTGCTGGAAGAAACGGAGCATTGCTGTCCTTGATTTAACGGCATGTTCATAAGTCTCTGCTTTACTCTACATCTAGCCATAATACTAGGTTCTTAGAAGAGACATATTGCATCCGCCCAACTGGGATTTCCGTGAAGTCCATCGGGAGATGTCACGCGGGTTGCGGAATAGCTAGTCGAAGAAACTCACCGGGACCTAACCATGAACATAGAATGTTTCAATGATCTCATCTTTTTTCCCTGTCTTCAATGGGTCAAAAATCTTACAATTGATATTGTAAACAATCATAGTATATGCCGATTTAGGAAGTGATGATTTGATGTAGACAGTGGTAATGAGGTAAGCCACCCCTCTAGAACTATGGTGTAAGCGATGCTAGCGTCGAGTATCTAATGTGCTGAGTTCGATGGTTCAACAATCAAGACTTCATTTTATGGAGGATCTCTGGGCCATAAAATATATGGGATATCCATTAAGGCAATCTCAGTTGTTCATCGAGTGACAGTATTTGGCGGTAGCATTGAGCCATGCAGTGCACATACTCGGGTAACTAGAATATCCTTGTCTAAACACAGCTATTTCTATCATTAATTAGACTCGTTTAGAATACTAATTTTTGTATGCTCGTCCCATTATTTTCTTTATTGATTGTTTCCAAGCATCAAACGGCAATACCACGCAAGGTAGCCGGGATTCTTACCATCTCATGCGAAACGTACGAAACTTATCTAACCCCAAGTTCCTTTTGGTGGTCCAAAAGTCTCCCCAGCAGCGACCTTCCTCTGCACAGCCGTCTCCAGATAATCCATCGTACTCGCCGGTGCCCTATTACCCCACCACTATCAACCATCGTTAGCCCTTCATTCCAATCCATCCCCAAAGAACAAAGATAAACTCACATTCGGAAACCCCGTCCCCGTCAAATTCAACGCCGCAATAATAACAATCGTACAAATCGCCAACCCAGCATCCAATCCCGCGCTCGTAATATAATTAAAACGCATCCACCACCCTCTCCAACGATTCTTAATATATTTCTGGAAAATAAATCCATACAAACACCAACTCAAATAATTAAGCGGAGTAGCAGGTGGTAATTCAGACATACCGCCGAAGAAGATCGGGGCGCTGAAATATCGAACCTTGGATTTGGGGAATGCGCGTGCGAGGAAATATACGAGGAAGGGAAGGAGTGCACCTGCCAGCCAGAAATATTGGAGAGATCCATAGATGGCTCCACTACCGAAAATGCGCTGAGGTCCAATTAATCCGAATATTACACTGGCGTTGAAGAAGACTCGAGGGCCGGGACAGGTGAAGTTGTTTTTTTGGCTACTGGTACATATGCCATCAATATGACCTAATGCCCACTCCAAGACCGCTAGCTGGACGAAACAACTCCAAACCGTGGCAGCTAGTTGACCCCAAAAGACTGGCCTTTGAGGAATCTTAAGGTAATGAGCGAGTTTCAAATCGGATAGAAAAGCATGTGCTTGGTTCATAGTAATGTATCCGTAAGTTTTAAATAACATGAGAGCGACAGGACGACCAGGAAGCATATATCCTACTATGTATTCTGTGAACACATTGAGACCAAGATGAACATTGGTGGTTGCGTAGATAATACCGATGGGGATAGTCCAGACGAGAGAAATTAGGAGAGCGATAATTAGTGCCCACCATGTGAGATGAGTTGGATATGCACATACGGCTGCAAGGGCCATAGCCATCATTATGAGAAAGAAGGTAATATACCACCAGCCGGGTACAGGTTTGTATTTCCGCATCATTTTTGTGTGATTATCGTCTAGACTTCCGCGTATCGCACGGGCGAGTATCCACTGACAGCCATTGCATTAGAGCCTGTGGCAAACAGGATGTGAAATTGATGAAGTGTGTGTACTTACGATTTCTTGGCCATGAAACAAAATAGTATGAAATATCACTGCAGAAATAGCTGCAAAGGATAAACCATAGCAAAGGCTGAACGTGGTTGAAAGAAACAAGGGTGAGTATTCCTATGATGAAATTAGTATCCGCTTACCTCTAGTCATTAAGCGAGAGAATACATACCTTATACTTCTCAATATCGAGCGTATATTCTGGGGTTAGAATCTTGGTAACATTATAATGTTTTGCAGTATTATCATAACTATTTGAGTCGGAGATAGGTAACCATTTAGCATACCAATGACCCGAGAAGTGAATTCCAGCCGTCACAATCATGAACCAAAAAACAGTACCGATGGCTGTGTTAGCAATGGCAAACCAAGGTGGAATGAGTGGAGACTGTAGATTATAGCCTATAAGTAGTCAGTAGTCAAGCCATCGACGGCTCCTACGGAGTTCGAGAGATTACAACTTACCAGTAATTTGAGTCCAATCAAAGGTAATAGGAATAAGAGAAATACCCGTCCATCCACCAAAGACCTGGTTAACAATAACATTATTCGGTCGAATCCAGGTAGTAAAAGCAAATACACTCAAGAATTTTGCTATGTAGCCAGGAAACCAATACCAGACAAAGGATCCAACAAAAACATAGAGGAAATATCTATATCTAGCTATAGACCAACCATTTGACTTCGCAGGATCGGTCTTACTATGGTCATGCAAGGCATAAATGAAAGAAGTATTAACGAGTGTTTGCGGCCAGATCATAGAAGCCGGGTCGACGAGGAATTTCCGCATCATGCCTGCGATTCCAAATCCAATGCATTGTGTGGTGAGCGCAAGCAGGATATTGAAACCCCAGCCAAAGTTCTGTCCGTAGAATCCTCTTTGCGCGGTAAGTGTGTCGGTGAAATATGCTACTCCCTGTCCGAAGGCAGCATTTGCCATGATTACTATAAGACCATGTTCCTTCATGTTGAATTTTCCGGGGCTGAGGTTCCATTTTACTCCAAATGTGTTATAGGTTCGATCTGGGAATATCATAGTCCAGCCTACTCCGAGAGGGTATGCCACCATTTGAACGACGATGGATGTAATTGTTAATGAAGGAGCTCGAAGCGAGAAGAGAGAGTTTAGACCGGATGCAATAGTGCAGAGCAAGAGCCCGATTGCCCATGCTCGAATTGTGTTAGATGGGAGATCTTCGTCATAATTTCTGACCGCTGCACGAACCTGTGCTTGGTTTAGATGGTATATAACACAAGAACCACATATTGGCCTACCTCAGGGTACGGTGAGTTCTCAAACACTTCATCATAAACCCTTCCCTCTGCATTTGCATCTCGGCTATTGACAGCATCATCAATTTCTTCCAATTGGTCGTGGCCCAAATTTGGATCCCATCGATGAAGTTGCTCGAATGCTGCTAATTTGCGATTTGCTTCTGCCTCTTGAATATCACGAGCAGTTGATGTTGCGACATCCTTCTCTTCCACCTTTTCAATAGTATCAGATCGATTGTGTGATGTCACGATGGAATCGTTAGCGGAAGGAATGCTTTCTGAATCGAGGGCAGGATCCCGAGCTCGAAATCTTTTGAAGGCTCCAGACATTATGATTTACCTGACGAATACACATGAAGAGAGAAAGATAGAATTGAGAGGTAGGAAATATCTCGACTTAAAATGGAAGGGTATTTAACGGGGCCATATCTAGCCTATGAAAGCTTCCGATAAGCTAAACCAGAAAACAGACCTCGTCCTCTGAGGTTCAAGATAACAAGTGATAACATAGCATCGCGAGAAACAATGCAAATAGATGTTCAGATCTTCAAATATCCAAACAAAAACAACAGAACCCCGCTACAATAGTCTATTATAGGCAGGTCCTTAAAGATTTATGCCGCTACGGATAAAAAAGTGACAACTGCCGTAGCACACTTGCAATGTAGTGCAGATGTTGTGCATGGTCCTTGACCAATTAAAAACGAAATAACCGCATATCGAACGTAACCCCGCATGTTTGACCAGCTGGACGATAAGAGCTGCTTCCTATCAAGAAGCTCTTATCTTGAAAAGATTATTTGGAGGCAAAAGATATTACTGACGTATGTGTAAGAAACCCAAAGTGTTTCTAAGCTTGTCCTCGACAAATTGTGTTTTGACATGATCTAGCACGATATGATATCCGGACACGACTAACCTGGGTAATACGTGGTAATAAAAATGCCCACAAATCATCTACAAGTAGAAGTTTGGCACAATCGCACAATCATGCATTAAGAGAGACTGTCTCTTCACCAGTGCCGGGCAACCGGAACCCTACCCTGGCCAATGATCTGATGTCCCTCAATCTCGCCCCTGAGGTATCAACCATAGAAAATTCGTAAAATCCTGCAACTATAGATCTGGTAATACTAGTTATCTACCTAGTGCTTTGAAACATCTATCAAAGAGACTTGCCGAATCATCAGCCGCCAAAATTTTACAGGTAGGTCCTGCAAAAGTTAAATGGCTGGAGGGTACAAGTGCCTCTCTATCTGCATTCTCCCGACGTGTCTGTTTAAATTTGGACATCCGCTTCCACAGCTAATCTCTCAAGATCCTTTCGCATCGTGTATCGCATATGAGAGGGTTGCGGCTTGGAAGAGAGTCGAATTCGCCATAGTTGTACTCCAATAAGAAATGAATGGTTTGAAGATGAGGCGTTGAAGTTTACCAACACTTCAACCAAGATTGAGTGGCCTCAAGCACTATTCAATAGTCGAACAGACCGCTTTCTTTTAATTCCGCATCATCGGGAAGGGTAAGTGCCTCAATGTATTTAAGTACTACTTGCTACAAACGAAACGATGGGGACGAAAGTCTCATCAAGAATCCCACGTTAATCTTGAATCTCTTCCTAGGTGTTCGATTACTCCACTGGACGATCCGTTGGCTGTTATGGTTACATTGATTCCATAATATTGATCATTTTACGACCAGATAGTAAGATCCGTTAGAGGGTTCCGCACGTGGAATAATGCTACCATGATAAGGTTATGATCAACGATGTTTCTGAAAAATCTATTAAGATCCTCATGAAAATGTCATCTTCAACGCAAAGCTCTGAGTCTGGTTGTAAGAGAAATGATTTGGCCAAGATGAACTTCTCTCTTTAAGCTTAGATCTGGTGGTGTAAGAGTATACACCAGGGCTTTGATTTTGCAGGCCGCTCAAAGATGACGGGGCTATTAGACATTGGATATTCGGCAAGTGAAAGAGCGGGAAAGTGCTTTCCGTATTTGGTGTACACATATCACGGCGATGAGCTAGGGGGTCCAGATCGATTTAAAGAGACGTCGTGATGCTGTTGGGTTGAAGGGAGCCTACATTCTACAGATTCGCATGGAGCAGACCAGAGAACCGCACCGATGATCCAACTTTAAACGATGATCCCAGGAGTTTGCGTTTCAGGATTGGGATTTGAGAGAGCAGGGCGGCGGCGACGAGAGATCCCATTTTCTATTGCGTATTCTTGAATTCATAGATGACCGACCATAAGGAATAATAAGCCTCTCAATAAATCAAATTGACTGCTTGAGGTCGACTTACGTATACTTCAGTCACAGACAATTTAGATGAGGATTATATGTGTATATTGTTGGATCGAAAAACATCTCATCGTATACGAGCTTTTATGTGTATATGGCGCGCCGGATATTGAGTGAATGCTTCGATGAGTAAAACAATTGGAGGAGCTTGAGAATGGATTCAAGTCCATTGAATTTTAGTTAGAGCCTAGCTCAGCAAGCTCCTCTCGACACCTGCGGAAAAGAAATAAACTGTAGAAATATTTGCGTCTAGGAGATAGGAACTGCAAAAGTATGTGGAAAGTTTCTGTGGGAAAGTCAAAAAGTGTGATAAGGAGCTTGAGCTTGGAGGATGAGAAATCTGGCAGTAAAGATGTGCTTATATGTCCAGTTAGAGCTGGCTGAGAATAAGTTTGCCAGAAAAGTGTCCATTGTGGGTAGCCCAGTATTTAAATCCTTCAAATCAATATTGCCTTGTTCATTATCGCACCTGACGGGCGGAACCCTGAAGTACCAGTCGTTTATGAGGTTGTTTATCCGATCAGAATTCCATTCTCCAAAATTGTATGTTCAGGAATTATTACTTTGCTCATAGACCAATAGAAAATAGACGTGGGATGTTTCAAGCGCCTCGAGATGTAGAAAAGTATATGTAATAATGGAGGTCACGGCGAACATGACTCATGAGATGAGCGAGGTGAGAGTCGTAAGCACTCCATACATCATGCATACACCTCCATAGCAGTTGTCAGAAGTGCGCGGACCTCGAAGCATGCACATACTGACTATGAGGTAAAAATCAGACTGCCTGACAAATGAGTTGGAGTATGATAGTTGAGAAGTTTTATGTTTGTACTCCTAGAAGGAAGAAATGGCTCTCGACGCAACCCAAATTGGAACATTTTCAGACGAAACTGCTTCAGACTACAGCATTCTCAAGTTAACAATCCTGTCGCTCCATTCTCTAGCGAGACCTTCTAATATCCATCTCAATCAGGGACATTGAAATGTGGCAAACAATCTGTAGTCATTATACTATAGGTCAAGAAACTATTCCGACTTTCTATGCATAAAATGTCACTTTTTACCAAGAACATATAAGACTCAACACCGTTTCAAATTTCCTTTATACGCAATTGTCGATCTATAAATCTGCTTTGCATTTGGCCCGGCAATACTTTGATCGAAACTCTGAAGTAGATGAAAAGCCCCAAAGTCCATGAAAGCTTTCTCAAGTGCTGGGGAAAAGGTACAGGAGCCTTCTATCAAAAGCTAGTCTTCTCACATGTGACGAATCGTTTGAGTAAACACGATTTCCGGCAGAAATTTTCAGTGAGGTTATTCCTTTCATTAGAGGATACGGCAAGGTGTATGGTGTCTAAAGCCTTACACCTAACTACACACTGCCAAAGGTAAAGAAAATGAGACTTATGCTAGTATTGGAGCTAAGGAAGAGGAAAGAGAGAGAAGGAAACACAAGACAGTACTGTGAAGTTTTTACTTCTCCAAACTTTGATGATCCATCAGTGTTAACCACTCACGAAAAAATGATTCTCCTTGTGAAAAATCTCGCAAATGAGATGCAATCGACAAACAATAGCTATAAAGCAGCAGCATATATATCGCCCAGTAGAGCTTTTCCCATCTTCCATCTGACCGCTGGATCAATTCCGGTAGGAACGCAAAAATATGTATAGCTTAAAATCCAACCATTCAAAAAGAAACACCATAAATTCTTCTCATAAATCAATACTGCCATTAACATAGAAATTCAACATGCAAACCCAACATGAAGGAACTTTGCCCCTCGAAACCAAGACAAAGACTCACTCAAGCTCTCTCAAATATCCATTCTCATATCTACCCCGCCATACCCATATCCATATCCATATCCACATCCATCCTCAAAATCCAAGATCCAAGATCCCAGCAATCAAATCCCAAAACATCAAGGCATCACAACACAACATCAACATCCCATTTTCAAACTCTATCCCCACCATCTCAAATTCCCAACCATCCATTTCCAAATCCCTAGCTCCAACTTTAAAATCCAAACCCGGGGATAAGCCTAACCATTCTCAATCCCCTCAAATATGTATCATCCAACCAAGAATCGAGAATATAGTGAATACTACGCCCTAAGAACTTAGAGGTCCGCAGAAAAAGATTTTGATAGTGGTGATATCATTTTGTGGAATTAGAGTTTGAGGTAATGCATTTCTGGTTACTCTTAGAGTATCGAATGGGGTTTGTAGTGGTAGCTAGCTGAATTGAGGATGAATATGGTGTTTAGGGAGGGAAGGGAAGGGAAGGGAAGAAAAGCGAAGAGAAGGGAAATGCAAGAGGAGTGAGCGAAAGATAAGAAAAGGACAGGAATGGAAAGCAAAGTATTATAGATTGATATATTGGATATAAGGTGTTGAGAGCAAGGTGAGAGGGGTAGGAAGACCACATATAGAAACATTAACCCACAAAGTTAAAAACCAGAGAAGGAAGGGAAATAAAGAGAAGAAAAAGACATTAAAGAGCATGCAAATAATATCAATCCCCTTCCCCCCATCAAAACAATCAAAGGAAAGTAAAGCGAAAACTCTATAACACTAATCCGTCAGACCTTGCTGGTGCTCTGTGAAAAGATAGCCAGGTAGTCCCCGTATATATATCCGACTACGAGTAATGGATCTCAAGAATTGATATCTTCATGCTTCATCAGTGATCACCAATCTTTCTCTTCCTATTCATACTATCATCGCGAAACCATCCATCCATTGATTTCATATTATCTAAGCATAACGATGGGAGCTAGGAGTAGAACTATTAGGTACTCGTGCATTGCGGCTGGAAAGTAAATGACACTACACTCATATATAAGGCACTAATCTCCTTGTAGTTTACCAACTAGTGGTATATGCTTTACAGTAGAGTGTCTTATACTTTTTGGCAGCACGAGTAGGTAGATAAACAGAAGTCAAGTCGCGTCTAATTTAATGCAGTTGGGTTTGTTCCCGGATGATAATGCCGATGTAATCTTATGATCTATCGGCTATTTTCAAATTTTTTTAAATCTTTATTGAATAAAACATACTAGGAGATAATCAAGAGAGAGAAAATAAAATAATAATTCTAAAAGAAAAAACATCCACCTTATAATTTTAAATAGATATATATTAATAAAGTTTACTCACCCATCTATCTACCAGTCAATGAATCTATCCATTCATTTACCCATCTTTACAAACAAAATCATTCCATTTCACCTCAATCTTTCCACCTCCAGATCCAGATCCCAGCTCTTAGATCCCAGTTCCAGATCCCAGTTCCTCCATCTACCTCGCCTTTCATCGCCTCGCCTCACCTCGCCTCGCCTCAAATAATAAATATCCAGATCGGCGATTATTTAAATCAGTTAAATCAGGAAATATACATATATATATATATAAATAATGTATATATAAAATGTATATATATATACTATTACAAATCTCAATATCAAGAATCTAAATTCTTATTTTAAGATTCCAATTAGGAATTTAAAACTTAAAATATCTATCTACTCACCTCACCTAACCTCATCTCCTCTCACCAATTTTATTTTCCGAGGACCTTAAGACTTTAAGACTTTAAAGCTTTTACAATTTTGTAATATAGACAGAGTAGGTACGAAGCTTAAGTTGAATGATTATAAATACTTATCTAGTTAATAGATGATCTGGGAAGAAGAGGTGAGGGATTAAGAATTAGAGAGAAGGGATGGAGTGAAGTCCATCCGTAAAATAAAACATTCTTATAAAAGTAAGACTATCGGACGGAGAGTATAGTGAATTATGCCGCTGGCTTTGATTGTGGTATTGATGAGAGTAGGGTAGAAGTGGGAGAGATATTTCATACAGCTTAGAGATGAAAAAGAGTATGAGTTGTTACGATCACGGATCTTACAGTAACCGATCGTGTGTTTACGAGATGCGATTCGATCAAATTAGTATGGGATTAAGGTCATGTGAGGATCTGAAGAGCACAGACTCTGTTATTTTATGATTCCCACCGATCCCACCGACTTAAATCAAGTGGGAGCGATGGGATGATGGGATAGGGAGTACGAAGATCTATGTAACTAGGAGGGATTCCCTCACTCTAGAGCTTCGTGCTCAAGATCAATCATTTAGTATACTCTACTATTAGTTACGAATTGCATTATTGTCATTACTTTAAGTCCCTGCTTGACGCCTAGTTATAAACCACCTCGAGAGCCTAGAGCACTTCCACGTGATCTAGACGGCAACCCTCGTAACAGTCCTACTTCCAGACCACCTCCTCTTTGGGCACAATTTTCCCTATCAAAAATGATGGAAGTCACTAATAATATTTATAACTCATTTATTTATAAATATAATTATCTTTTTAATAAATATGAAATTAAATAAATTATATGTATATTGTTAAAGTGAATGGTTCCTGCGTAGCACGTGCACAGGGCACTAGTCCTGTTAGGACTAGATTGAGAAGCTCTCTGTAGGAGAGCTTCGCACTTCCGTAGAACTTAGATAATGAGTGATTCATATACAAGACCAATATAGCCTCAGTTCTGCCCTATCAACTTCCCACTATTCCCTGTGTAAGGTCATTCCTTTTAACAATATTTTTTATAATAAATCCAACGATGATTTATTTATTAATTATTTAGACTTGGATTATAGATGTAGGAAAATTAAATATACTTTGATAATCAAAGGGATTTTGACTTGATTATTGACTGGTCAGTAGATAGAATAGGATAGGATATACTGTATGCATGTATGCATATATACAGGTTTGGGATGGGATGGAAATTCGAGGATATGGATGGGTGAGTGGGTTTGTTTGATGGTTGTTGTTGAATTCTGGTGGTAAGATATTTAGAAGAGAGAGACAGAGAAAGAGATGGGGGCATGGTAATGAGGAATTTAATTCGTATTATTTCAGATTTCAGATCTCACCTCTTGTACTTTTTAACTCCTCTATATTTACAGAGACGGAATATGTATGTGGTGTGCATGCATACATGCAGTTTACCTTCCCCGGGTATGTATCAAACGTGAAGACTAAAAGTGAGTCAGAATTACCTAGTATGTTGTTTGATGTAACTGCGTAACTAGTATAATAGGAATATGACGTTGGTATTTTCGGAATGTGGCAGGTGGGTGGGTGCTAGATGTATGTAGGTGGCAGGTAGATAGGATCGATCCTCTATTGAAGATATCATTATCATTATCATTATCATTATCGATAGAGATTGAGATTTCGATAAGAATAATGATGAATAAATGAATGATCCGAGAGCAAAACAATATAACACAACACGACACGTGAAATCCGTATACGGTACTAGGTCAGTCATCCTCCTTCCCTCCATTTCCTACTCTAGGAGATCTCCGAGATATTCGCGGATGTGGGTCTGTGTTGAAGAATTAAGCATCGAGTTTATACGGTTGAGGCTTGACTAAATGACTTAGTATGTAACTGAGTAAGTAGAGAATTTAAAGGGCCGACAAAAAGAAGGTTACTGAAGGAAATGAATCAAAAATGATACCTTGGCCGACCTTCCTAACACCGATCGATTTAATAGACTAGTATTCTCTAGACATCTAAGCACTGTAATTGTAACTCCTCTAACCAATCTAAACAAATTTCTGTAACGTCTCTCGTAATGATTTTATAATGTAATACTTTTAACTGGTTATTGGTCATCGTCTTTCGGTGAATTATTTGTTTGGGGAAATTCAGCTCCTTCGATGGAGAATGTGTTAGCAAATAATTCCATTTTAAATAATGGCGATGGATGGTGTTCGGGGAAATTCTCCACATCCTTCTTTTTCAGCGTGGGTATATTGGTTATAGACTTACAGTGGCTACTGGCTACTTTGTGCATTGGCTAATGATTTTGCCCATTGCATTTTATTCATAGCTTGTTATCCACTGTCTTTCCGGACCGTCATGGACTCGAGTGTTAGGACTCTGGTTTTTGAAATGGGGTTTTGGATCTTGGAGTTGTTTTAACCGGTGTTTAGGAATGAGAAGAGAGGACTACTGCTACTAGTACTAGACTGACAGTAACTTGTGTACTTACTTGTGCATTCATAATCTAGAAAGTAAACGGGCGGACTCACTTGTAATATGCGAGAGTTTACACTCAAATGTTCCCTGTTCTTTTTCGTATCGAAATGTATTTTAATTTGAGCAAGTCAAGTAATTTCCTCCAAGTGAGTGTGATCACTTCTACAACATTATGATGAAGAAAGCAGGAGGAATGTGAGGATGAAAGTGGAGAATTCTATCCGTCCTCTCATGCATGAAATAATATTTGTATTGCCATCATCAAGTTATTGGGGAATATTGAATGTAACCATACGAGGAGAAATCTCACAGAGCTGGCGGATAAGAGATCATGAGATGGATATCACTTGCAGAACTAAGCATCAAAGCTTATTAGAAATGCAAGAATGCGTTACCAAGGAAAGGCCAGTGCACGATGCAGCACGTACAAGCCATCCATCCAAGACAAGGAAAGGGAAGGAAGGGGAAACTACGGAGTACAGTGTAAGAATAATCATTCAATAATGAATTAAAAAAGAGGGTGTTATTATTATTATTATTTATTTTATTCTTTTAAAAATGGAGATTTATTTAAATCGGGGGATGAATGTATGACAGAGAAAAGAGTCTTGGGATGTGGATGGTAGATGCATAGATATATCAAGGAAAATCCTAGAAGCATTGGAAATGTTGAAGGCCGGATTGGTGATCAAGTTGTCAAGATAGATATCTGTTTTCTTTCTAGTATCCAATCTTGATTGTTAAATGCTTGAATTGATTAAAGTGCTTGACCGCTTATTCCAAACATCCTCCCCATCGGCAGATAAAGGGAGGGAGGGAGTGAGTGAGTGAATAGAATGAGTTGGTAAGTGGTGTTGGTTTGTTTCTTGATAGTTGTACTACTGGAAGGTTGAAACTTGATCTTAATACCTACCTACTAGACAGTAGATAGTGGACACTAGTCAACGGGATACTACCAAGCGTTTACAAACTACACGAACGGCAGCCGCTACAAAATTATAGATAATAAAGACAGGACATGATATATAAAGTATTACTAGGGTGCCATATTACCAGGTATAGTTAGGTAGATCTACCAGGTAGTACAGAGGAAAGAAAGGTGGGACCATGGCGAAAGAAGTTCAAAGTTCAAAGAATGTCCCAGTTTGAACTTTGATGTTCAGTAGTACTAAAGAAGAATCATCCCCCCGGAATCCAGGCCGAGAATCACCCCATATTATTACAAAACGTCTTTCAAGGGAAGGAACCCGTCAATCAATTCTTCAACTCTTTTGAGTCTCTTCCGTCTTCATACCTTCATACCTTTACCTGCCATAGGTGTTGGGTACTGGGTATTCATTCAATCATACTTATCCTCTACCATTCTACCCTCAATCTTTCATCTTCTTTTCGAATATTGATATTGTTCACATTTGGAAAGAATTAATCAAGATTCACCCACTCAACCTTTGGCTGGAGTTTAACATTACATTACTCATCAACTATCAATTGGGTCGATTCACTCCAATTCCGTTCAGTTACATCATATCGAAACCTACTACGTACATCAGTCACCTCAATTACCACCAAAACTCCCATCATTTCTACTCATTCGGCTTAATATCCCCAATTATATTCTTCTTCATTTCGCGTCACCCTATACGGAATTATTACACACGATTCAAATTACAAAATCCCAGTCATTCTTTCCGTCGCGACAATGGCCATTCCGAAGCAGCAGTATCGTCATGCGTGCTGCTAAACGATCTCAGCACCTCCCAATCTTCAAAGTCGACAGACCGATCCCGAAAAATAAAAATACAACTTAATAAAAAAAATTACATCTCTCAAGATGTCTTTACTGGGGAAATTATTCTCTGCGACGACATCTACTGCACAGACGACTTCACGCCCTTCCAACCTTCTTGATTCAAATCTGGAGGATCATTTTACCTATAACTTACTCTTCCCAGATGCCGAAGCTTTGTGTCACAAGGACCAACTCTTCCCATTCTCTTCTGGAACCGCACTTGCGCCTGCGAACGCGAATACTTTTGATATTAATGGAGAGATTGATTTGGACATGCGCGATGTGCGAGTAATTATTATGCAGGAAGCCACTTCAACGTCTGGAACTCCATACGTATTATACGATAGCCACACCCCTCCGCCAGCTTCTCCCTTTCTTGAAAGACAAAACTCGAATGGTTCTGCGTTCCCTACGAGGTCCGAAAATCGGAGATCGATGCCTCCACCACGAAAGACATCTGTAGGACAAAATTCGAGACCTGTCGTTATACAACAGGAAAGTACAACTCCTCGAGCTTTCGGCGCATTTGACCGAAGATCAGCACATAAATCACAAGCAAGTTATACAGAAACTGAGGGACAACGTTCGCTGAGGGAATACAAGGAAGAGGTTACTACTATTTCGAATTGCATATTTGGAAATTCCGAGGTTTTAGCATACAAAGGGACTGGCACAAAGGTTCACATATTGCCATCCGACTCTAGATCCTTTGTAGGACCTAGTTCTTATGCTGCGGATGGATCTTTCGGTAGATCAAGTATGCGGAGTAGTAAGTTGGCACAATCTTTCACCGTGGAAAATGGTGCAGGTCCCGCTCCGGCTCCAGCTGGTCCTTCGACAACCACACCTACGAGGGGACAAGACAGGAAAAAGGTTCTCATCACACGCATGTTTCCGGTACCCCTACCAAATGAGGAAGTCGAGCCTCAAACACCAGTGGTGGGGGAAGACAAAGATGGTTATCCATTTCCTAAAGTTACCGATAATGACACTCCACTAAAGAAGCCTCAACCAAAACAAAAGAGAACTCCTATGTATGCGGTCGGATTGATTGTCCATCTACCCGCTTCACCACCTCGTGCGCCTTCAGCACCAACTTCAAGATCTAGTTTCCGTGCATCGAGCTCATACAACGAACAAGATTCATTCCCATCATCTTTCAGCTCTACAAAACGTGCCGGTTGGACGATGCTTGGTTCTGGTTTTGGCATCGAGTCTTTGGAATCTTCGGTTTATAGTGATGTGGATGACCGGATCGACATGATCACTCAACACTGGGATATCATTACGCGGACACTTACTCATTTGCAAGCAGTTGCAACCGAATCCTTGCTGTGCCTTCTCCGACAAGCGGACATCAGTTCCCCCGGACCTCGTCGCGAGTCAAATGCTCGAGTCCCTTCAGCTAGTGTATCAGTCGCTGGAAGGAGAGTGACGGAGGACGCTAAGCCATTCAAATTACCCAAGACCAATGCAAAATTAGTTCAGCTAGGTCAAAACTGTCTGGTACCGATCCAGAAAATACATAAAGAGGTTGATGCTTCACGTCAGAGGGTGATTAGCGGTATCAAAGGTCTCCAGGTGATTACTGGGCAGGGTCGATGGGGCATATGGCGTGAAGAAGCAAGGTTGGCTGAGAGGTGGGCAGGGGGGAAGGATAAGGGATTCTTCTTCTTTAACCTTTTGACTGGATTTTTGGGTAATCACACTGAATGGTTGCAAGCCCTGGGACCTAGTTGGTATCGTCGAAGACATTACCAAAATCAGAGATCTTACAAAGATGATGATGTATCTGTACCAGCACGTACCATCATTGTATCCGATGATAAAATGGCAGCGAGACGATTGATATTTTTGCTTGCTGCTTTTCTACCCGCGAGTCAACAAATAGGATCTCGCGCTCATCGACCTAGTACGTCGATATCTTTAGGTGGATATCCACAATCTCCGCCATCTTCTATCATACCCGTCTTGAGAGAAGAATCTCTTCGCCGCAAAATCAACAAACGCTCTAGTGCTTCACGAGCCTCTCACCCGCGATCTATGAGCTTTCCGGCTCAATCTGCGCAAGCTTCACAAATCTCACAGCCTGCCAAACCTCAAACCGAACATCCTAGTGGTCTTGGAATTACAGTCCATGATGTTCAGCGTGATCGATCATCATCCGATATTTCCCAAATCAGGACCGCAAATTTGCCAATCCCTGGTAGTGATAGCGGAACTAGGAAGAGCAGCACTGCAACAACAAGGACTGCCACGCCAATCACGACAGTTCCGCATTTCTCCACTCGAGCCCCAGTCAGGGGAACTGGTCCAATCCCTAGGCCGGGAAGCAGTGGTAGTCTTGCTGCTGATGACCTGCTTCGATCTCTAAAGAGAGGTGATAGCTCAGGTCAATACAGTAACGTAAGCACTGATTCCCAAAATCAGAATTCGAGATGGGGTAGCATGCTTAGTGGTTTCTGGAGTTCGAAAAGAAGACCATCTACGACTAACACCTCGGCTACATCGATGGAAGAAGTTGAAATCAATGACCCTTACTACAGGGATATCACTTCACAGCCTCGTGTTAAATTACCCAGTACGAGTGAGAATGTCGCCGAAGTTTACCCATCAAAGTCAAAAGTTCAACAAGAACGTGACTTGAGGAAATCGGAATCTGGAAGTACTGAAACCGCCAGAGCCATTGAGCAAAAGCCAGAAAAAGGGGCCGGTGAAATTACCGAGCAGACAATTCAGATATCAGAGCGCATACCAGATCCGTCGGGAGCATATGAATCACCAGTCAAAACTTCAATCGCTGATGATGGTGCCATTGAAATTGACGTTCCCCTTCCTGACTATTTGGCTTTTGAAACGGCTGTCAGCTCACCATCAAGTAGTGGTTATCTTTCTACGCCAGGTTTAGGAAATGGACTCGAGGGTTTTGAACATTATTCTCGTGCTGGTCCTGATTCAGATACTACGATCAATGTTGGTGGCTACCTACCACGTTATCATCCGGATTTTGCTTTACAAGCAGTACCTTCGCAATCGGACCTCATTTCCGAAATCAAAGAATCCATGAGAGCAGAACCAACGCCTGTCATCACATCAACGCCTAATGCCGAAGATGGTCGTGCTGATCGATGGGTCGACGTTTCTAGTGCGTTGGTAGCTGATACTACCAACTTCACAATTACTCATATTCGCTACAGACGTCATGTGAAGCTTAAGGAGAATGCGGATCCTACAACTCCAGCTATCTCCACTTCATTAGAATCAAAGTATGGAAATGTTTACTCAGCCGTACTTCTTACACCATCTCTTGAGGTGTATGATGATCATGAAGATCAATTTATTGAAGAACAATTGGTTAGCATGGATGAAACATTGATCGAAGCTGTTGAGAGAATCATTGCTCAATCAGGACAAGCTTCTAAACAATCGTCAGCATGTTCATCCAGATCCACAAGTAGGAAACCTGTGGTTGGAAGGGAGAGATCTAACTCGGATATTAAAGTTGTACCTGGGTTTGGAGCCAATCTTGAAGTTCCAAGAAATGAGTGCAAGAAGATGGTTCTTAGTGCTCTTGAAGAAATCGTGAAGGAGGTAGCAGAGAGCCGAGAAGATGGCGATGGAGAACAGAGGTTAGAAGGGAGAGAGAAAGAAAGCTTTCTGAGGGAAGGAGTACGAAATTGGCTAGGAACCGTGGAAAGTGTGGAATAATTTCACCAACATGACGACAAGAGATCTATGGCATAACTACTTTTTTTTTTTTTTTTTTTTTTACGTTTGTACCAACAACTAAACTTACGGCCAACATCATATGGTTCTCAACGATACCCGACAGACAATGTATTACCAACAACAATATCAAACATTATACATGGAGTCTTTCTTTTTTAGAATTTTAGCGTCGGCGTTTGGAGGAAGAAATCTTGCTACGATTGGACAGGGCGGAAGCTCAATATAGCAACATTTGCTTTTTTTTTGGCTCACAATTCTTTCATGAGAGCGACTACTTGAGGTATTTACCGCGATTATACCATTTGCATTTTAGGGAGAATGGTTGGGCGGGTTATTGTACATTGGGATCAGAAATGGGACGGAATGGGACTTTCCTTAAACGGATTGGGTGGGTATACATGGATGGCTGGATGGGTATGGAATGATTTGGCTTGATTGGGAGTTTTTAATGGTCGAGGGAAAGTTTTAAGAGATGAGATGCGTTTTTGCGCGAATTCCAAAGTATGGATGAAGGGCAGTGGCGATGAGGCTGTGGCAATGACAGGGAACAGGAGAAGAGAATATTGTGGAATGAATAGAATGACTTTTAAGTCATTCTGGATACTTCGATACCCGTCTTTTGGCTTTTTCTTCTCGTGGGGTTGAAAAACTTGCTCCGGATTTTAACGATTTGCATTTGCTACTACTTGTAATGGCGCGGTGGGCTGTGCACGTGTACATTTGCATTTGCATTTGCATCTGATGATGAAGCGAATTTTCCGTCCGAGATATTACCATAGCGGATGAGTGGAGACATTTGAGAGTAGGGGTCCGCTGATCGATGTGATGATTGGAGAGGCAGGGTGGAGAGGACGTTTTAAGGGCGCGTGTCATGTGGAGTTTGAGTGGAGCGGTGATTCATTTGATGGTTGGATGGTTGGTTGACGCCATCACATGTCATGATTGGTATGCATGCATGGATGAAAAATTTACCTAGGTATGGATTTACTTTTAGAGTATTAGGTAGGTAGATTAATTGAATGAAGAATCGTTTTTTCTTTACGAGAATTTTTGCTATTTTTTTGATGTTGATTTGTTTATTTTTTAATCCGTGTGATATTTTATAAATGAGGCGGAAGACTAGAAGGTCGCTTATAGAATTGCATACAATGAGGCGTTAATTAGTGATTGGTAGGTGTATGTGTACGTGTGTTCGTGCAGCCCGGGCAGCCCGGCCCAGCCCAGCCCAGTATACTCTGTACGAAGTATAAAGTATATAGGTGCAATGGAGTATAAGGTATTCTACTCCTTGTAGAGTACGGGCCCTACGGGGGATGGAGTATAAGGTAGGTATTATATGGAGTATGGAGTAAGGAGTACGGAGTGCTTGTTTGTTTGTTTGTTTATCTGTTTGTTTGATGGATGGATGAATGGATGGATGGTGTATTTTTTATGTGAATCGGGCTTGGGGTTTGGGGATTAGGAATTGGGGTTTGGGGTTTACAGGCTAGGATCTGGTAGAGTTGGGAT